CTAGTTCCCTGTCTAGAACTTGTAATGCTAATTACTCTTGCCTTTACTTCTCCTTCACATCTCCCATTCATGATTCAAGGACCTTCTTTTCCTCTTAGAGACAAGATTTATGAAATTTGGGAGTCTTTAAATAGACCCACTGAAGGGGTACTCCAGTTGCCTCATCCTGCGTCCCTGGACGTTCAGTGTGGAAGAAGCCAGAGCGGTCTGCTTCCGGATTCCCTATTGGCAATTTGGGTGACCCCTTCAGAGGATGGTGTGATAAGAATAGGAGGTAGGAATTGTCTAGGCAATTAGGGTAAAAAGACCCCAAAGCAAGGTAGCAAGTTTCTTGGCTAAAAGTCAAAATGTCCTTCGTCCTGTTAACAACATACTCTGTTCCAAAGGCCAAAAAAATGTCAAAAGTATTTGGGAGCTTGTATCCAATCTTTAAAAGATTCTTGGGTTACCTCTTCAGAGGGGGGAATGTTGGAGGGGAGGGAGTGGGCCTAGATTTGATCAAAACACCTTATATGCATGTATGAAATGCTCATTAAAGTTTTTGTAAAAGTTAAAAAAAAGAAAAAAAAAAAGAAAAAGAAAAAGAAATTGTGCAGGGCATGGTGGTGCACACCTTGGGTCCCAATACTTGGTAGGCAGATCTGTTTTGAGTTCCCAGCCAGGTCTCCATAGTGAATTCCAGGCCACCCAAAGCTGCATGGTCTCATACATTTTAAAATTATGTCTTTATTTATTGTTTGTGTGTTGGTGTGTGTGTGTGGGGGGGGGTCAGAGGACGGCTTATGGAAATTGGTTCGCTTCTTCCACTTTGTAGGTCCCAGTATGGAACTCACGTCATTAGGCTTGGCGGCAAGCACCTTCAGGGATTAAATGGCTCAGCCTCTAAAGGACTGAGTTCGATCCCCAGACCCGCATGGTGGAAAGAGCGAACCGAGTTTCTCAACCTGTCTTCTGATCAACACACACCAGTCATAGCACATGTGCGCCCACAGACAGATGACACACAAATAAGTAAATATAATTTTAAGATTAAAAAAAGGAAAATATTCTTCAGGTTGAAAGAGCTAAATGGTGCATTTTTTTGGATGACCAATACCATTAACAAGGCAGTGCGAAATGCTTCATGATTTTCTCCCTAGGATTATCCAGAGCCCCTTGGAACCCGGAGGAGTGGCGGTGTCGTGGAGGAGAGTCCGCAGCCACTGAGACTGAGGAGTCAGCGGGTGGGACGTGTGCCGTGGGAGCAGCCAAGCAGCGAGGGGGAGGAGCCGGCAGCTAGGGGGAGGGGCCAGAGTGGGCTGGCCCAATCCCGGCGCACCAGGAAGTGACTCGCCCCCCTGCGACCGCCCAGCGGGGACCTCTGGCCTTTTGATTTGTTCCCGCACGTGTGTCCGAGGCTTTAGTGGCTCTGAAGGAAGGAGACGGGGTAAGTAGTTTGGAAAACCCAATGTAAGGAGAACTGTTTAATTTGCCCAAGTATCCAGAGCGGTACAGGAAGGACACAAGCGGACTGGGGCGGCACCCAGGGTGCCAAGGTCGTGGCCAGTTCAGTGTCTGCCTTCGCAGTGCCCACTCCACCCGCGGGACCCTGCAACCTGCCCCGCGGCCTGTGGCGGCTTGTCCTAGCAACTGTCTGTTAGCCCACTTAGTTCCACTTCCTATTGCCGTGATAAAATACCCCTACAGAGGCAACTTTAAGAGAGAACGGGTTTATTAGGCTTACAGTTCCACGTTACAAACCTTCATTACGGGGAACTCAAGGCAGAAACTTGAAGCAGTTAGGTACATCCACAGCCAAGGGTGGAGAGACGAATGCATGCATGCATACATGCCTAATACTCAACTGACTTTTTACACTATTCTGCAGAACAAGCCTGAAACTCAGAGAATAGTACTGCACACTCTGGACTGGGTCTTCCTACACCAATTAAGACAACCTCCCTATCCAGACACCCTACAGGCCAACTGGATCTACATAATCCCTGCTTCAGATTCTCTTCTCCAGGTGATTCAAGATTGTGTGAAATTGACAAAACCAACCATCACACCCACCTTATCTGCACCTATGGGCCAAACTTGCCTAGAGACGGGACTGGAGGGCTGGGCTGCTGTGCGGGGGAGTGGGGGGGGGAGTGGGGGAATGGACGGAAGACTTGACTGCACAGTGCAGTGGGACACATCGGTAAACCCATCTGCCCAGCTGCTTTAGCCAATAATTCTAGCTGGGGCTCAGCCAACTGAAAGCCAAGGTGATCAGAGTTCCCGAAGAACCCGTCTTGGTGGGTGAATTTGCTCCAAAGGGATCCTTAACTCTGTTACTGCTCAGACCTTTTACATAGTGTCTGACTTGAACCTCAGAGCCCTGAAGACAGGTTACCCATTGATGCTCAGGAGACTAAACATAGCTTCCTAGGTGGTTGTTAAGAACTCTTGGGGATTTTCCAATCAGTGATTAAGTTGAGGCCAGAATAGAGCAGTTCTTGTTCTCTCTCTCTCTCTCTCTCTCTCTCTCTCATATATATTCTTTTACTAAGAAAGAATACCTAAGCATTTGATTTATTCAAAACCTGAAAAGCTACAAAAAGAAAATAGTCTTCTGTAATAAAATGCCTCTGTTACATTAAAAAAACAAAGAAATGGTGCTGGAGAGATGGCTTAGTGGTTAAGAGCACTGGCTGCTCTTGCAGAATTTGATTCCCAGCACCCACATGGCATCTAACAATGATTCTTAATGATTCAGTTCCAGGGGAGCGCATGCCTTCTTCTGACCTCTGGGGTCATTGCATGCACTTGGTGCAATTTATACGCATGCAGGTGAAGCACTGATTTTTATGATACACATAAAGATAAATAATTTAAAAAACAAACAAATGGAACTCACCTTATTTGGTATTACTGCCTTGCCCTGAAAAATGTATTTAGCTAGAAATGACTAATATGATGAAAAGGTCTTTGGCAGGTATAATGGTATGCTGAAACAACAGGGGCCCGTTTTATTTACTTACTGTTTTGTTTTGTTTTGAGACAGGGTCTCTTTGTAGCCCCATTTGGCTTGGAACTTGCTATGTAGGCAAGGCTGGCCAGATCTCACAGAGAGCTGCCTCCCTCTGCCTCTTGAGTGCTGGCATTATAGGTGTGCACCACCACCTATAGCAATTTACTAGTTATTTTCGAGACTGGAGTCTCCCCATATAACAGCCGAGGCTGGCTTCTTCAGTGCTTGGATTATGAGCATGTACTACCATTCCTAGCCTTTTAGCCTTTCAAAAAAAATAAGTCTGAGATTTGATTTTTCAAATATATTTTATTATTTAAATATTATTTAAAATATATTAAAAATTTTATTTATTATTATTTTATGTGTATGTCTGTATTGCCTGCATGTAAGTACACCCGGGTCCGTGCAGTGCATGAGGAGGACAGAAGAGGCTGTCGGATCCCCTGGAACTGGAGTTACGGACAGTTGCTAGCCCCCATGTGGGTGCTGGGATTAGGACCTGGGTCTTCTGCAAGAACAGTCAGTATTCTTAACTGCTGAACCATCTCTCCAGCCCCAAATTTAAAATATTTTGTTTATTATTTTTAATTTATGTATACGAGTACATTGCCTGCATGTAAGTGTACCTGTGTTGTGCAGTGCCCAAAGAGACGAGAAGAGGGCATTGGATTGCACTGGAACTGGAGTTACAGTTTTTAGCTGCCATGTGGGTGCTGAAAACCGAACCTGGGTCCTCTGCAAGAGCAGCCAGTGCTTTTAACCGCTGAGCCATTTCTCCAGCCCCTATTATTTTTATGTGTGTGAGTGTATTGCCTGTGTGTATGTAAGTGTACCCGTGTCGTGCAGTGCCTGTGGCGGTCAGAAGGACTTTGGATCCCTTGGAACTGGAGTTATGGATGGTTGTTAGCCACCATGTGGGTGTGGGGACTTGAACCCAGGTCCTCTGCAAGAGCAGCCAGTATTCTTAACCACTGAGCCATCTTTCCAGCCCTCCAGGTTTTATTTTTAAAATCGACTTTGTGTGTGTGTCTGTGTTGCTGGAAATAGAATCTTAACTTGTATATGCTAGGTAAGCAACTCTACCCTTGAACTAAATCAACAGGATCTTGTTTTAGACCATACTTGATATTTAAAGCAAGAGACCGAAGTAGACAAGGATCTGCCTGCCGGAGTACAGGTTAAGTGAATCATAGACATCATGGCAATCACCAGTGAATGATAGGATGCATACACTGGCAACAAGATCTGATTGTTGCAGGGTAGGGATAGCAGTCCAGATTCCCAAGCTATGCTCTCCATCTGCTGATCCCCAAATGGGCCTGCAGCCTCCTACAGCTTCCTTCTTCCCTGTTGCCTACTCTGTAGTCTGGACCTCTTGTTATTTGGCCTTAGCAGATCTATGGATCTTCTTCCCTCTCTCCCACTCTTTCTCCCTCTTTCCCTCCAGCTAATATATTCTGGGCTGGCCTTCAATTTTTTTATGTAGCTGAGGATGACCTTGAGTTTTGGTTTTGGGTTTTTTTTTTTTTTGAGACTGGATTTCCCTGTAGACCAGTCTGGCCTACATCTATCTCTGCACCCGCCTCTGCCCCCCAAGTGCTGGAATTAAGGGGCACACCACTGCCCACTTTGGATAGTACTAACTGGTGGTGCTCAGTAGACTGTACTCTCACCAGGCTTCAGCAGGCATTCATGCAGAGGGTCAGGAAACTTTGTGTGTCTTTTTCTGTTTGTTTGACATGGGGTTTCCCTGTAGCCCCAGCTGGCCTGGAACTTGCTATGTAGACCAGGCTGGCCCCAATCTCACAGAGATCCACTTGCCTCTGTCTCCTGAGTATTGGGATTAAAGGTGTGTGCCACCATGCCCTCCTTAATTTATGTATTTTTATTTTATATGTGTGTTTGGTCTGTCTGTATAAGAAAGTGCACCAGTGCATGCAGTGCCTACGAAGGCCAGAAGAGGATGTTGGATCCCCTGGAACTGGAGTTACGGACAGTTGTTAGCCAACATGTGGGGGCTGGGAACCAAACTGGGGTCCTCTGGAAGAGCAGTCATTGCTCTTAACCACTTAGCCATCTCTCCAGCCCCATGTCTTATTTCTTAATTTTCTCTCATAAGTGTATTTGTCCTCACAGTACCTACCTTGCTAGTTTGTGGGTTGTAGACACTGAGCAGTTAAAAAGCCAAGTGACATGCTTTGAATCATAGCCTAAAGAAGAGCAGTTGAACACCTGCTGTGTTAAGCACAGTCCTGAACACCCCATGTGTATAATCTCATTTAATACTTTCTTTTGAAACAATCATCTTTAATTCTGTTACAGTTCTGTTCCAGTGTTTACCATGATCCATCACCAGTAGGGATCAGACACCCACCACCAAGAAAGGAATAGAAACCCTAGAGGGGCCTATCTCTTTGACATCCCCATCAGCCACATCCTCACTGCTGGTCAAATACCAGCATTCTGGGTAGGATTCCAGGCCTAGCTGTGTCCTGTATAGCTTAGCTCAAAGTCCTCTAGGCCCAAGACAGAATGAGCATCAAGGTGCTCATCATCCTCACCACTGGCTCTGTCAGCTCCAGGGGAAGTCTGACTAATTTTTTTTAATATTTTTATTTTTAATTGTGTGTAGGTTTGTGTGTGGGGAGTGGTATGTGCATGTGTGAGTACAGGTGCCCATGGAGGCCAGAGGGCATTGGAGCCCATGGACCTGGAGTTATAGTTGCTGGTAACCAAACTCAGGTCCTGTGGAAGAGCAGCAAGCACTCTAAACCACTGGGCCATCCCCCCCCCCCCCCGACTTTTAACTTTAAAAAACTTTACGGAGAATTTCATACATGCATATAAGGTGCTTTGATCAAACCCATGCCCACTCCTTCCCCTCCGACACCTCCCATATCTCCCCATCACTTTTTTCTGACAACTTCGTGTACTCTTTCATTTTTTTTCCTTCCTTCCTTCCTTCCTTCCTTCCTTCCTTCCTTCCTTCTTTCTTTCTTTCCTTCCATTTGTTTTTGAGACAAGGTCTTTCACTAAACCTGGAACTCATGAATTCAGCAGTACTGGCTGGTAAGCAAACTCTACCTATTTTCATTTCCCCAGTGCTGGGACTACGAATATGTTGCTAAGAGGCCCAAGGACATTTTTGACTTTTAGCCAAGAAACTGGCTACTTTTCTTTGGGGTCTTTTTTTACCCTAATTGCCTAGCGAATTCCTACCTCCTACTCAATATACGATCCTCTGAAGAGGTTACCCAAATTGCCAATAGGGAATCAGGATGCAGACCACTCTGGTTTCTTCCACGCTGAACAGGGATGCAGGGTGAGGCAATTGGGGTACCCCTTCAGTGGGTCTATCTAAAAGACTCCCAGATTGCATAACTCTTATCTGTAGGGGGAAAAGGAGGTCCTTGAGTGGTGAGTAGGAGATGTGAAGGAGAAGTAAAGGCAAGAGTAATTAGCATTATAGGGAATCAGGATGCAGACCACTCTGGTTTCTTCCACGCTGAACAGGGATGCAGGGTGAGGCAATTGGGGTACCCCTTCAGTGGGTCTATCTAAAAGACTCCCAGATTGCATAACTCTTATCTGTAGGGGGAAAAGGAGGTCCTTGAGTGGTGAGTAGGAGATGTGAAGGAGAAGTAAAGGCAAGAGTAATTAGCATTACACAATACTGTTGGAGTTGTTAGAATCAGTGTCAGTTCTGTCTCAAAGGCTTCTAGATGGGGGAGAAAACAAATTTAGCCATCATTTTAGAATAGTGGGTTATCTCCCTTAGCTACAGGTGGGCACTACAGTATTGCAGACCAAGATTTGAAGTCTTACATCTGAGCAGCACTTTCTTCTTAGAAACAAAATCATCAATGAGAAATAATTGTCAAAATAACATTTTATATGGACTTAAGCCCAATGTCTGAGAAGTATAATCCCTTGAACTCTTTTTTTAAATATTTTATATATGACTTTTATTTTATGTGTATGAGTGTATTGCCTGCGTGTATGTGAGT